TGTTTAAACTAATTTACTTTCTTGTAACATTCCTGTGCAGTGATGACTTCGGAGGGAGAAATTTTTATCGAAAAGAATATCACATAGAAATCATTTAATATTTAAAGTATATATGTATGTAATACTTATACCAGTACATATATGTATAAACAATCTGAAATTTAAAGAGAGTGTATTAGATTATTACAATAATTGTTAATTAATCGATGCTGATGTCTATTGCAATCTAAAAATTTAATTTTTATGTAATTGTTTAAATACAACTACACTAAACATATAATTATTATATTTAAATTACAGTTAAACAATTGTAATTATTGAATGAATACTAACTATTAGAGTAACATATAAGAATTAAATTACTTTTTTTCATACTTAATAACGTATATGTAAATAAAAAAAGAAAGTACATTTCTCTACAAAATTATACAACCAATATATTAAAACAATGAATAAAGAATATACTAATGAAAAATGTGAATTATTGAAGTTTACCATTATTATAAAAGAAAGCTCATGTGTTTGCTCATTTAAATACTATAAAAAAATTGCCTGGGTCCATTTTAAAATCTTGCAAGTTCTTCTTTTATGTATCTACTTAATATATAAAACAATGAGATATCCTAATTGATGCTGTGCTTTTCCAAATCTTTAAATACTTGCAAATCTGTACAAATCATAAGATTGTATTAGTAAAGTATCAAGTTATCCTTGTTGATATTTAAAAAATAAGGAATAAAATAAAGAGAATATACATTAAAAACCACACAGAAACAAACAATCATATAGAAAAGAAACCTCGTTGCAGATATTTTTAAAACAATTGACATAAAGCAATATAGTCATCTTTAAGAAATAAAACAACAAGAATTTGTCCATTTAAATACAGAATATGGTAATTTATACTTTCATAGTTGGCATGAGAAAAATTCGTGAGAGATGTCAATTGTTTTGTTTCACTTTATTTTAATTCTTGCATGCATTTTTGTACGCAATTATATATTTATCTTATTTAACAGCATAATTTCTATGGATATCAACTTATAATGATTAAATTTTATTGTCTGGCTTAATAAAGTATATATTTCGACAATTGTTATGTTCCTATATACTATTTTTAACTATTCGATGTTTTTCTATAATAGATAGAAAAAATGCAATATCATAAAGCAGCCATGTTTGCAGCAGATGTCACAACGTGTCTTTGAACCTCATACCATTATGCACCGGAGGCGACGACCATCTTTAATCTGTCAACTGCATTTGTTCCAGCGTACTGCATCATCACGTTTAATCCAGGTAATTGAAAATTATTTGACACCTTCCTATTATATATCAAACGATAGCTACACACAAGATTTTCATACGTGAGTGTTTTCAAAACGAAATATTAAAAAATACGGAAGATATTTCGAAATACATCGATGTATCTCAGTTTCGCACCAAATCTAATCAATGTTACTTAATAATATTATTTTCTAATTTCGAGCTTTTTTTATCATGGTATCGATAATTATTACCATCATTAATGATGCTCTAATTAATTATTTTTTTTATAATTATGTATTCAAAGATCGTATTTCGTGTTAAATTTGATTTTTATCATCTAAGCGTAGATTGATATTGCAATATACTCTGATTAAAGAAAACTAACATATTCTTCGTTATTTTCACTTGAACAACTACGTAGAGCGCAAGTCATGTTGAAGAGAGGGGAAGACAAATCATTCTTTGAGAGAATTTTGTTTAAATCATTAGTTAACGAACGGAAATATAGAAGAGAGGGTGTATATACTCGTAAAATAATCATTTTGATTGACACGCGTCGCGCTATCACGTTTATCGTTTACCCCTTTTTATTTCTCATTACACGCATGTATATACAAAGAAAGTTGAAATTGAACTTACCTTAGAGAGAGAGAGAGAGTGATTTATTATTTATTCGATTTTCAAAAGGAAAAAAATATTGTCGCGAAAAAGTAAAAAGGAAATGATTGTACGATTGTATTATAATAGCTAACACAAAGATAAACATTAAGTCCTGAAATATAATAGAAAATAAACGAGTTTCACATGGCTCACGATTATCAAGTTAATGAAGTAGACTTCTTTGAGAGACGTTACTATAAACTTAATCAAATTTGTTTATCATTAATCGGACTTTGGCCTTATTCCGCACGAAATAAACAATATTTTAGGAGGTTAATCGTAAGCAGTACTTTTTTGGTTTTTTTAGTGTTACAGGTAAACTATATAAAAGGTGTAAATTATTTTCTTCTCAATATATTAAATATTATATTAATAGAAAGTTTCATAGAAAATATTTTACTTTTTAGATAACAATGATTATTAAAGCAACAAATTTTCATTTACTCATGGAAATTATTTCTAATTTTATTTTATATTTAACCTGTGTTTTGATGTATTACAATAGTTTATTCAATATGTCAAAGGTATAAATATTATGTAATTCGAAAATCAGCATAAAAAAATAATAATTAAATTAAAAAAAAAGAAATAGTATAATAGAAAATAATGACAAAAAATATATTTAATTATTTGACTGTGAATCATTCGTATAATATGTTATTATAGATAAATCAAATCTTAAAGCTTATTAAACAAAATTGGTTCGAAAAAGAACATAGTGAAGAATTTCAAATAATGAAGAAATACGCGGAAGACGGTAGAACGTACTCATTGATAATATTATGTAAATACAATAGAATATTAACTTAATTTCATTTAATAATTTAGTAATTTCTTTTTCTTTCGTTTTTTTTTTATTTTTTAGTGTTGACTTATGGATTAATTTTAACGGCAATATCCATATCAGCCATACCATTTATTTTAGATATGTATTTTCCTCTAAACCAAACTCGACATCTCACATTACCATTTCCTATGGAATTTTTTCTAGACATACAAAAACATTTCATTCTGATATTGGTTATTACATTTGTTATGTCATCTATAACATGCACTGCTGTAGTAGCAAATTATACATTATTCGCAGTACTTATATACAACATTTGCGGAATGTTTTGTGTTGTTGGGTAAAAACATTACACAATCGATTTTTTAAATTGATTAATTAATAAATGTCAGCAGAGAAACATTATTTTAGGTCGTCCTGAATTACGATAAGATTTGATTCGTGTGTTATTAATATTTCTTAGATCACAATTTCTCAAACTATTTTAATTACCCGAACAAACATTTTTACGACTCTATACTATCTTTTTTTCACTATCATAAACTCACGTGATAAACTATATTATGTTTAGTGTTACCTTTAATTAAATTTTCTATCTCTTTACGCGTTCAAGAATTTTTTTTGTATTTTGCATAAATTTCTTCTCGTATAGGGATACAAATGAAAATTTAAATGATTTATTTTTAAGAAATTTTTCAGAATTCGCGTGAGATTTTTTTACTATAATTATTTAAAGAGAAGAAAAGTATTAATAAATACACACCAAATCTTATTATGAATCAGGAGAATACAATTTAGGGTTTCACCTGTTAATAGTTTGATCGTCCATCTTTTATCTAGGAACATGTTGAATGACATTAGAAAGGATATTTTATATGATCATTATACGGAGGATAAAGTTTATGCAAAAATAATTCGTAGTATAAAATATCATAAAAAGACTTTAGAGTTAGTATGAGTCAAAGATGTATTAATTAATTTCCATGTTACATTTTTATTACAAAAATTTCTATTCAAGATTCTACTCCATCTTTAATTCCTTATTCGAAAAATGTTTATCTTTAATTCTTATACTTGGCTCGATTCTTATAATTATTACGTTCGTTAGGGTATGATCTTGTTTTAATTTATTATTCTAATTAACCTTGACAAATTTTAGATATGAGTATATTAATTATTAAAGCTTTTGTTTTTCGTAGCTTTTACATAACTCAGCTCTCGAACAAGAAAACATTAGAGAAACTGTTCTATCAATTTTTAATATCATCCTCAATTGCGGTATACTATTCATGAATTCCTATTTAGGCCAAAAAATGATAGATCACAGCGTTATTATAGTCGACAAAACGTAAACATTTTTTCATTTTATTATATTATTAAGTTTGGAAAATTACATTTACATTGATGAACTCATTTTATTTTACATTTTTGACTTATTTCTTTTTTTTCGTATATTATAATCTCACACCACGTATTTATTGAAAATATATATTTATTTAATTATACAGACAATGATCAATTTATAGGTTTTATATACCATGGTACGTGCTTTCTACAAAATCAAAAACTTTATTGTTGTTCATGATGATGAGAAGTCTAAAACCTTGTTACTTTGTACTCGTCAATTTTGTTAATTTATCTGTACAACTTTCCATGTCGGTAAGAAAAATAACTCACATTATTTTAATTTTATTTTCACATGTTCGATTTATTTATATGAATGCATAATTTTTTGTTTAAGGTCATTAAAACTACTTTGTCTTATGCTATGGTTATTTATTCTGTGCAATAAATTTGTTCGCGAAAAGATGTCTCAGTTTGTTAATAATAATAATAACAAGGAAACGATTTAACTTCGTCATTTCTATTTCGTGTTTTTTTTTTTTTTTTTTTTTCAAATTCTTATTCGACGAGATTGACATATTAACAACGTAAGTTTAAACAATTTTGAAAATGTGAAAAAGTATATAGAAATAGAAAAGATATAATAAATATATATGTACATGATAATCGTAACATGCTTCCAACATTGCGTCTATTGCTGACATCTTTGTTAAATTAATTCTAATAATATTATCATTGGATTATATTATATTATTCGAAAAAAAAAGAATAGAATAAATAATAGAATAAAAAAAAAATTAGTACAACATCGCATCGAAAGAAACAAAGTGAATTATTTTCGTAGAAACGTAAGAAACGTAAGATTAAAATGAAATGAAAAATTGTATCGAAAAAAATTAAGAAAACATTTATTTATTTCAGAATAAGAAGAAATGTGTAAAAATTTTATACAATCGTAATGATATTATTTAAATAATTATCCAACGGGTGGCCCATAAACAGGCGGTTTGTATGTATTTCGTGTAATATCACCGAAATTATAATTATTATCCAGTGCATTCGAGCCTAATTGATAATTATTTTGATTGTAGTTGCTACCTCCGTGTCTGTAGTTATTATTATTATTATTATGATTATAATTAGCATTATTACCTAGAACAAAAAATTCTTCTTTATTAATGGTTCCTAATTTTAATATTATTTATTTAGTTTTTTAGCATCGATTTCAAACAAACAAACGGTCCAACAATAATTAGGAACAAAAAAGAAAAAAAGATTACCTTCGTTGTATCCATTATTTATACCATTTCCTTGGAAATCATAGCCTTGATTATTATTATTATTATAATTATAACCATTTTTCTGCGTGTTATACGTATCGGGATAAGTCGCGGTACCTTCGTATCTCACATCTGCATGAAAACCAGTTCTCCAGTCGGCTGTATAAGTCACAATCTGTGTCCTACCATCAGGAAGTTGTACCCTGTATTCACCTTGAACTGTTTCACCATCACTTGACTCCCGTCTACCAAAATCATTACCCGTAGCAACATCTTTTACCGCATATCCAAAGTCGTAAGATTTTGGCTAAAAAATACAATTAATTCAAACATTTGTTTGTGTTTGTGTTTTTTTTATTTATTTATTTTTTATTATTTTGTTACTGTTTTTTTTTCTCTCTTGTAATAATTCTTAATAAAAATAGAATAATAATTGAGAGTAATAATATAGTAATAATAATAATAATAATGCAAATGTTTGAGAGATATACTTTTTGTAGCACTTTTTTTTTTTATCTTAACTAAAACAAAATAATCATGGTACAATACAATTTTCTATCTTTTAAATGAATGTAATATCTAACGCATCTAAAATTATAAGAATAAGAAAAACAATATTCTATAAAGTATCAGTAATATCGTTTACCATCTTTCAGTAATAAATTTCATTTTAGCTCCTATGATAAGCTACTTATCCATACATGCTTGCAATACGTGTTGCCTATCACAAGGGTTCAATAAAGTAGTACACTGTTAAATTGCACACGCGGGTGACTTTATCGACGTAGTATGACGTGTTGCTCGTTTTTCTTTTTTATTTTTATCCAAAATCAAAGAATAAATCTTACAACCAAATAGTAAAAAAAAAAAAAAAACGAGTAATAATAAATAAATTAGTAATGAAGAAATTATATCAAGTTTGTCTTTTTTGAAAACGTGTAAAAAAGTTTATCTAATGAAATATTATCTCGTCCTAAAAGTGTTTCTTACTTAATCATATAATTAATAAATTATAGATAGACAATATTTTGTATTTTATATATTTTTCAATAATTTGGATTGTATACAATATGGAGATAACTCGGTAAAATAATTAAAATTAAAAAATAATGTATACACGTAAAATTGAAATGAAGAAAATTTTGGGACGTAATTATACATCGTATAAATAATAATAAGAATAATTTTAAAATAACAATATCAAATATATACGAGATATATATATATATGATACAATATAATTTGAAAGGAAAAAACAACAACAAGAACAAAATGATAAATATCGAGCACGTAAGGGATTAAAAGAATCACAGGTTACAGCATAAAATCATTTTGAAGTGCTTGTCCATAAGAGTTAAAATAAATCTCTATGATCTTTAAAAGATTACTCAAATTTCGAAATACTTTGTAAACATTTTTCCGAAGTATATCATGAATAATTGTTAAACGCACATACACAGGATTTAGTAGTACTCTTGTTTGTTGAATACAAAGGGTAGAAAGGAGTAACATTCTGTAGGGAAAACGATCATTACTCACGTAATTATCGGCGTAGTCCTGATTGTTATTGTGTCCGTCATCGTAGGAGTGACCACCGTCATGGTGTCTGTAATGGTTGTTACCTTCTACAGGGGGGTATCCGTACTGATTACTCAACGGTGGCTCGCAATACGCCAACCCGATGCTGATTATCAGTAGAAAGGATATCTGCCGAAATGAGAATTCTTCTTTGAAGTGGAAAACGAATTACGAATAGTTGAAATCGATTCTACCTGAGTATAGGTTATCGAAAAAAACGTATTATAGGAAGGAAACCAACCCACTTGCCAACCTCACATTTCTCTTTATATTTGTTTTTTATTTTTATTCGCGATATCGATTTTCAAAGTTGGTTGATAGGTAGATAGGGTAGGTAGGCAGGTATCAAACAATCGTTATTATCAAAAGAATTTAAGATGCTCTAACTTACTTTTCATTATTTACCTGTTAATAAACAACTTTCTCGTTAAAAAGTAAAGAAGAAAAAGGGTTCGTTGACGTAAAGTTTAACGTTATAATAACTATTATTGTTGTTGTTATTATTATTATTATTATTATTATTATGCGAAAGGAAACCAGCAATCGTGCATCTATCAAAGTGTGAAATTGAACCGACTTGCGACACCTTTCACCAAGGTGTTATTCTCTCACGACAATGCGCTAACAATAACTATGGTAAACGCATTAAGTACAAGTTAATTATTTATTAATTGTTACAGACGCGTCTAAAAAATACGACGGTCATTTAGATATATCATTCACATGTGTTATTTTTTATTCGAATGAATTTACGAATTGATCGAAAATTAAAAAAGAAAAACAGAAAAAAAGGGATGATAATTAACGCGTATAACTATATAATTAATCTTTGTTTTTCGAGGAAATTATTTGGGGAAAAAAAAAGAACAAAAAAACAACTAATCGTTCGTAAAAATTTTCCCGTAGTTGAAATATAAGAAAAGGAAATTATAAAATAGACAAAAAAAATGTTCTCTTTGTTAATGCTTTTCCCGTTCTCTCAGTGTGATAAAGAACGACACGCGTGTAGTTAAAGTATTTCGCAGTTGAATTTCTCGTGTTCGTCGAATCGTCAGAGTTGCACAGTGATAATACGTTGACGTATATACTACAATCGTGGTAGGCGTGAAAAAAGGGGGTTGTGGGGAGGAAACAAAAATGAACGGAAAGAGAGAGAGAAAAAGAAGAACCGAGCCAAAAACAAAACGAAACAAAACCAAAAAAGAAAAAAAAAAGACGGAAAATACAAAAAAATCACACATCGCTTTTTTTCTCCCTCCCCCCCCACCCACCCCCCATCTTCCTCATCCCATTCACTGGCTTTTCACGTAGTACTCACGTTCGCAATAGCGGGAAAGTGGAATATGGTGGAAAACGAAAAAAGAAGAAAAAAAAAAAAGGAATAGATGGAGACGGAAACAAAAAGGGGATGAAAAGTAAGGATAGAAGAGTGAGAGTGAGAGAGAGAGAGAGGAACAAAATATTAATAAAATAAAAATAGAATTGAAAATAAAGAAATTCGTTGCTGCAGCAGCAGCAGCAGCAGTGTTTTCACCAACCGTTTATCTCGTGCACGTTTCTATAATTTTTCATTTACCTGATGACGTATTGATGCATCCATGTTGTTGTTGAAGGGAAAACAAAAATAATAATTACGAACGTTGGATGATGAAAACGATGATCAACGAAAAGATTGGCGATTATCGAAAAGAACAAAAAACAATCGCGAAAACAAGACAATAATTGTTTTCTCTCTTATTGTCTTTTTTTTTGTGTATGTGTGTTTTTTTATTTATTTAACTCTCGTGACACACGACTATTCTTTCTCGAGGAGAAACAAACGTTGACGTTTTGCAGGATGTTACAGTCTCTCTTATATAGCCAGTGCTCCTACTTCCAACGAAGATTCCATTTCCTGCATCAACCAGCCGGTCGCTCGTGCGCGTGAATTCATCGTTCGAGGTTCTATGAGGAGAATGGTTGAAGGAGAACCATAAGAAGGAGTAGGGGGAGAATGACGAAGAGAATGAAGAGGGTAGAATTCTCGGACCGAATTTCATCGCAATTCCGAAACTTTTGTCATATGTCTTGGGCTATATAATTATCTATCTATATATTTAAGTATATACCGTATAGAAAATCTTTCATTTATTTTACTAATAATAATTCTAATATATAATAACATATAGAAGATAATTCGATCTCGAATTATCAAACAATATTAAATTTTTATTAATCGTTATAGACAAAAAAAAAGGAAAGAATTATCTCTTTTTACAAAATTATATTTTTATCTTTACCATTTTTTTTATTTTTTGTTTTATTCGTATTATTACCGGGACAATAATTTATGCAAATGAATATATAATTATCTATACGTGATCATAATTATGAAAGTGGTTTAAGTCAAAAATTTAAATAAGAAAAATTAAAATCAGTTTATTCATTATTTTTCTAAGCAGATTATTTTCAACTAAATGTTCACGATATATTGTCAAAAATGAATCGTTAAAGATAGTATTTGTTATTTCAATATTATATAAAATTCATTTTTAATGTTCAAATATAATACTCTAAATATCTCTATTTCATAATTATGTACACAAACATATATATGTCTTAATAACAATTAATTGTTAAGATATAATATATATATCAATTATAATACACAATACACAGACACATATATAATATAATAATCAGTTTGAAAAAAAAATAAATATTCCATAATCATATATTATTTTCAATGTAATTAATCATCACATTAATATCATCAATCATGTTCCTTTTTTTTTTTTCTTCTTCATATATAATTTCTCCCATTTACACAAAATCATCGTTTTAAAGTTATACGAAACTTTTTCGAGGGATTGTATTATATTCGTGCATAAGTTGTGTAGGTATTGTATATATACTCTAGTTCACATAATGAACTATGGAAAGCCCGCGCTTTATTTCACCATTGTTTTCATGGCTCCCGGGTACCTGTACGTGCGATTTTCGGGCCCCTCTTGTAAGAACGAAGAGAATTGGAGATGGCAATAACAACCAACAACAGTCCCGATGATGACGATGACGATGCCAGCTATGAGAAGAACAAGACGTAAGGGTCTTCTTCTTCTTCTCTCACTCTTATGGAGAAAGCTGATTGCTTCATTGCGAACGTGCTGTGTGTGTGTATGTGTGTGTGTGTGACGCCGTGGGATAACCTGGGCTAACGCATATCGACCGCCTTTTTATTCTTTTTTTTCTTTTTCTTTCTATTTTTTTTCCTTTTTTTCTTTTTTCTTTTTTTTTTGAGGGAACGCTAATTAGCTAGTTGATTATTCATTATGACGACAGGGTGGGTTAACCTAATACCATCTTCACTTATTTTATTTCTTTTTTCATTAAATTTCTACACACTTCAGAACAATTTTTTGTATTATTTATTATATATA